TACTTTAAATCCAATAGAACCAAACATCAATCCGAGTCAAATATCTTCCCCCAACGCACCCACAAGATTGATCTAATGGAAGGTGTTGATATTTTGTTCTTTAAGGCGGGATTTGTAGGCTTTTGTTTTGGGGATGAGGCCGCATAGGTAACTATTGGAGTGCTCAAAGTAGATCATACCATACAAAATTATGAATATGCTCTATTACAATTATAGCTTATTTGGGACTATCGAAGTTATCGAAGTGTGACAGGAGAAGACACTTTCACCAGGTATCCAGACGGATTAAAAATAACGGCTTCCGTTGACGGTTTTTGTGCTGAAGTGGTGCCTAATGCCACTATCTACATGAAACACGATCCTGAACTCGGTATGTGTGTATTAGCAAGCAGTCTCTCCTTTATGGTAACATACAAATTTGGCTTAACGTTCAGCATTTAGGGGAATGGCAACAACAGAGTCTAGAGTTGAGAGTCAGGATTCTAGGTTCGGGAATGTGAGCCTTTAGAGAGAGAGAGCCGGGCCAGGGAATGCCTCGCGCAGGGACGGCCCGGATCCAGCACTTGGTGTGCTTTAGAACTATATGTGTTTGATGTGGTAACTGTATATATTCTGTGCGCATGGAGATTTGTCGTCGTGTTCCAGAGTTATGGTAGAAAAGACATTTGTCACATTCAAGAGATACAAAGTAGACCTACTCGAGGTATGGACCCTGACTGTCGCAGCCACAATGTGCAGTTAATAAAATTATAAAATTGTAAGCCCAAATGTGTTTTTCAACGTGTTATGTAACACATGGGAGGATTTCGTACCCCAGTGAACAGGATTTCGAACGGGTTATTCTGTCACCTTTCGCAAGTTTGACAACAGTCATGTTTGTAGGACTAGCAGTGTGTACCATTCACTGTTACAATGTAATTAAATGTGCTATAGACAGCATATATTTTTGCAGAAGTCGCCTGCAGATTTAGGAAATAGCACAGAGGAAGTCATGGTTTTGACTTGAATGATGCCGCTTGACACCGGAAGTATGGTTATTATACAATATATAACAATTTCGTTAAAATTGTAGAAAATTACCTATACATGTATGTGATCATATGTGGAGACAGTATTTATTGTAATGCGAAAGGCAATCGTTCAGTAGAGTTACTTCCCCTAGTATATAGAATAATGGCAAATAATCGTTGTAAGTGACATTCTCTGACTATTCAAACACAGGTTAAAGTTTAGATCAAACCATACGTGCGTTACATATCTTTAAGTTTGATGTTTTTCCACATTCACTTCCGGGAAAGCAAAGACCTGCTGTATCACAAGGAGTTATGTGCTCCTTCCTCCCCATTCAGAATCGTGAGTTTTCACCTTTCACCGGTGTGTCGTATGTTTAGAGGACAATGATTAGATCAAAATTGCACTTCGATACTCGTTCGGTTGTCTCCCTACGCACACATCTTTATATGAATTTGGCTATTTCAATGTTTAATCACACAATAACAATATGTTCTGTTAACATTGTAACAGATTTATGTTTTCTTTCCTGTAAGCAATTTTTAAGGTGTAGTTTCACGTCTTGTAACGTTGCTTTTATTTCCATTAAAACTGTGCAATATAGTATCGAACATAATTGTTGTATTATTGTTATTATGAGTGCTGTTCAGTGGTGGTGTCTAAATAATTCAATTAATGAAATTATAATTACTCTAAATGACCCTTTATAATCTTATTCGTATACGCCCGTCAAATTTGACAGGAGTATTATGGTATGGGTTTCTCAGTCCGTTCGTGCGGCGTTAACTTTTGTTTGTCCGGCTTCCTCCTACCTTTTTCGACCGATCTTTAAAACTTGTTATATATTATAATCATGATATGGAGTTGTGTCTCCTTTAAAAGTATTTTGATTCGACAATTTTTCCAACGGTTATTGCCCTTTGTTCATTTCAGTATTTGATTTTTGTCCGGTAATCTCCTCTACATTTTTTAACGAATCTCTTTGAAACTTAGTATACATTATAATCATGATATGAAGTTGTGTCTCCCTTAAAAGAATTTGGTTCGACAATTTTTCCAAAAGTAATTGCCATTTGTTCATTTCCGTATTTGATTTTTTGTCCGACAATCTTCTCCTACATTTTTCAACGGATCTCTTTGATACTTAGTATACATTATAATCATGATATGAAGTTGTGTCTCCCTTAAAAGAACTTTGATTCGACAATTTGTCCAAAGGTTATTGCCCTTTGTTCGTTTAAGTATTTGATTTTTTGTCCCGCTATCTCCTCCTACATTTTTCAACGGATCTCTTTGAAACTTTGTATACATTATCATCATGATATGAAGTTGTTGTTTCTCCTTTAAACGAGTTTTGATTCAACGATTTTTGCAAAAGTTATTGCCCTTTGTTCATTTCAGTATTTGATTTTTTGTCCGAAGATTTTCTCCTACATTTGTTATAGCATGTCGGCTAACTACTCTTAGAATGATGCAGATCTTATTTTAATATAAGATAGTATATAAGTTCAAGTTACCTTTGTTACAAAATCATTTCTTTTCCATTTGGCAACATCGATAACATCAGTTTTTACATCAATCAGATGACCGTTAACGCCCTTGGGCCTCTTGTTTCAACTGACACTGAACTTTTAACGCAACAGGAATGTGATGTAAATATTTTAGTATGTATTGAAGAAAGTTAACATCTTATAGACTGGTTTTCAAAATGAGTAACATTTGAATGAGCCTTTAACATGTCAATACTCATTAAAATTTCATCTTAATGTTAATCTTGGGAACTTATAGATATACCCATTCACATATGTTTTATGTAAATATTTTTGACTAACAGTTTGATACCAGTTTCATGCCAGTAATATTCGTTATTTATATTTATTGTTTTGTATCTTTTTGCATCGTTGACACATTTCAATCAATTGGTTAAAGTTTGATTGATGTATTTCGTGGGGTTTTTTCTTATAATTTTTAATTTTGTCCTTAACTACTCAAAACGTCGATGACTCGTTAATTGAAATATCTTAAAAAATTACAAGAAAGCCGGATGTGTATACAATACTTAAGGTTTGATTGATGATGTATTTCGTGGTTTTTTTTGTGGTTTTTTATTGTTTTTAATTTTGTCCTAAATTACTCAAAACGTCGACGACTCGTTAAACGAGATATCTTAACAAACTACAAGAAAGCCGGATGTGTATACAATACTTTTATTGTATCGTTCATTTTACTTTCTAGATTGTAATGTATAACAATTCTAACTTCGTACGGCGTCCCTAAAACACAATAACATATGAATGGTGATCAAAAACCAACATGAGTGTACTCACAACTCGCCATTACTCCCCAGTCCTGTATGAAACCACAAACATCAATAGGTATTTGTTGTATTGGTATTAAATTCGATGGTTATGCAGACATCCGATTTCAGAACTCCAAAAGGAGTTACAATGTACTATGACAAATAATTAAGAAAGAAATAGTTTCTGTGATATTTTTTTTCTAAATAAATATACTATATAGCTAGCAAGTTAAGATACATCTTCATCTTATTTTGGTTTAATTAAATCCAAATATTTAAAAAAATACGACAAATATCTTAATTTGCTAAACAACCTATATTTGTCATAAATAATACATACGTTACCAAATGTTCTTAAATTGGTTTTGGTTTATATAGTAGACCATAGTAAGAAGAATATTTCAAACTGTTCAAACTCTTTTATTACAATCAGACTTTTTCAAACTAACTTTAATTCATTGCCATAGTGTACGTTAACTTCGAATGACTTTCGTGACTGTCTTTTTCATTTTATTTGCATAAATGGAAAGAGAAATGTAAAAGCAAATCGGAGCATATGAATGTGGATGATATAAAGATAACAAAAGATGAGTAAAAAACTTATTTCATGACATATATTCATTCAATAAAAATGTATCCAACTTTTGTAAAGCTTTCATCTAAAACAATATATTTAACATTTATAAAATAAAATATTTCAGATTTAAAATGCACGAACACAAGAGTCGATAAAATATAATGCACATGTGGCCAACACAAAGTTAATGTGAAACGTGTAGCTATCAAATATTACGAACTGGAAAATTTCATGGAATATTTGAGGCAAACCTGAAATGCTTTATAATGGGTTTCAAAACATTTTTAAAGGAGCTTCTCTGTTTTATAGTGACATTATTATGTGAATATATGCAAAAGATACTTGAAATATTGCCTCAACCAGACAAAAATGTCGAGTGATATATTGAATATGATTGTGTCTTGCAAATTTTGAATGTTCTAGAGATATTTTATTTTCCCTGTGTTGCAGTATCCTTTCTATTATATTGATATCGGACGTATATTCTTTCATTTTCAAACGAAATCAAGGGAGTTAGTAATGTTATTAGCAAATTTAATAACATAAGCAGATAGGAAATCGCATTATTTTTTTTATAAACAACAGTTAATTAGAAACTTACTGTTCAAGGAAAAGAAATGTGTAATGTATCTTGAAGTCTAAGATGAACACAGTAATATAACATACAATAGAAGCCACCACATGTCCTGGTATATCAATATACAAGACAATATTCAATATTGAGAAAGATTTTTTTTTTATTATTCAATACAAGGCTTAAACAATCAAGGTCCGAGTAATGCGTGTGTGAAGGTACCGACGACACTAAGCTGTATGCAGACTCAGTTGTATGGAAATCAATGTCGCCAATGGTATGACCTGTTGTATATGCATACAAGTGTACACATACCGTCACACATACATCACAGGTAAAGCTCTCGTATAAAATCAAGCGAAATACATCGATTTTAATTTCAATTTTTTCATCATTTATTTACATCACTGAAAGCATATATGCTATTCATATTGCGTTCAAATAATTGATTTTTCACTGAATCCTAGTTTGCTTTTATTAAGTTCGAAACAAAATAGATAAATTTAAATGTCCCAATACGATGAAAGAAAAAACAGATTTTTTTTGCCAAGTAACAATTCATGATTGTATTTCAGACCAATGTTATTATTTTCGTTTTATATTAAAAAAAAACAACACTACATATTAAAACTGTAAGTACATTCAAAAGGACTTACACTATAAAGGCTAATTATTTCGTTGATTGAACTATCTGTTGTTAAACGTTTGGAAATGATCATACCGAGGTTCATTTGCACAATGATGACGTATGTCAAATTTGCATGTGTCTTTCTTTTCACGTGTCTGCAGATATACGAGTATTTCCGTATCATTAATTGAAAAATATATTGAAACCTATTCAGGAGAAGGTTTTTTAATCATTACAGACACAACCGTGGTTTTCCCACTTCTTAACAACCGACCGGGGATGTCGTTCAAAAGCGCCATACTGATATTTCCAATGAAAAAATAAATCTTAAAGAGAGATTTGTTATAATTACTTGTAAACTTACATAGGCCTCGTTTGGAAGAGCTGAACAATGGTTAACTTGAGAACTAAAGTAGTCTGCAAAAACTTCACATGGAGCTCGTTAAATCGTTTGAATCTATTGGTGAAGAAGTCAACCTCCAAATGTGCTTGGCAGTCTTGCTTATCAAAACGACACTTTACTGACGTAAAATGTCACATGACGATGAAATGATTCAACATCTCAGCAGACCACATACAGTTTTAGATAAAAAAAAATGTTTTTTTCATATCCTTTGTGAAGCTAGAAATAATGTATTTCCTAAATTAGATATCACCGAGTTTGGGCATGCAACACACACATGCTACATAAGCGTTCATTCGTAGGTAGATGTGAGAGAATTAAAGCATTTTAAACAAGATAATGCATTGTTTAACTGGCTAAAACATTCCAAACTACAATTAACAAATATTATTCACCAACAAGTTTACTAAAACATCTCAAATCAGGAACATTCAATATATAAATTCTCCAATAACACACATGACATAAAATTGTATTAAAATGGAAAAACAATAAGAACCTGAAAGAAATTTTACACAGACAATAATAGTTGTATTCAACTCACACCAAAACTACATTACAACAGAAAATGATGCTATTCTATAGCCTATGTACCTAAACCTTGCACGTTGAATATTATTTAACAAGTATGCAAATCTTTCCCACTTCATATTAACTAGTCTCTTAGACAAGGATAACGTCGCTGGCTTGCGTTTTGTTTAAAACTTGTACATGTATGTGCGTGTTTGAAAGAAGGTGGTGAATGTCCATTGTGTTACATATTAAACATAAACTCAAAAGTACACATATGCCTTTCACAATCCACGTGGCTTTCGTTTAGCAAATTATGAATGTGCATGGTACACAAGCAAAACACACCATAACAATACTTCAACTTGGATATTTCATAGATAATGGAAATACTCACCGTGTATATGTTTACCACTGAAAAACGTTGGTAACTTAAATGGGTTTTATGAAGAAAGTTGAGTTTGTTCAATTAGAAACTATAAAATGTTCCTGAATGCGACTTAGCATACTGGTTTACCATACACTTATAACACAAATAATGCGAGCATCTTGATACTAAACTATCAGCTCTTACGTCGGCCTGGATGGTTATCACACTGAATCCAAACTGAAATCCAAATCTCGTTATCTAAATACAACTGGAATCTTCTCTTCTCTAGTTCTAGGTTCCTTAGAGCATTTTTTTCGCGATTTCATCGTCAGTTCTGTTAAAATCTATGTTGATATTAAAGTTTATAACCATATAAACTTTGGGTTGTTGAGGGAAAGTATACTGTTTATTTCTAAGAATCAGGAAATCGGTGGCATATTTAATTGAATTAAAGACGCACCAAAAAAGTGCATATTCCTTAAAACAATATTTGTAAATGACCCTTGTAGTTAACACTCAGTCCTTCTCTATTCTCTAAACTTTCGCAATATATACTGAATATAATTTAAACTTTGAGAATGTGAACGTGCACGTGTGTCAACATACACAGGTAATACACAGGTAGAAAATCCGTAGCTCATCAAATAATTTATACTTATCGCTTGGCATCACAATAAAGATTGATTTGCTAACTTCTTGCTTGAACGTGCGGCTAACGGCATTTAGAAAAGAAAATTGCACTTGTGATATTAGATTTTCAATGAAGCTTATTGTAATGTATTTCCGTATGTATTACATATATCTGTTCAAGAAATGCGAAGGATATTAAAACGGACGGTATATACCAATAAAAGAAGCAATGACAGCGAACGTTAATCCGGCATATACCAAAATATACAATATAATGTCGTTATTGACAAGCATGTCGTAATAGACACGTCGACTGTCAACATGAATTGAAGGTATATTTTTAATACATAATATCAAATCTAAGAGAAAAGAGTAATTTTATCACAGGCACAATACAGAGGTATCCTCTTCAGACAATCCAAGCTTTACTCGGCCTCAAACGCATCTTCTTCAAACTGGATGCGATTTCCGTTAAAGATGAGGGTCTGATTCTGGTCATTCGGTTTTTCAATAAAAGACGATATAATCTGACACTTAAACTTTCCAACCATGAAGTGCATTTTTATCACACCTCTGCTCTTTTGTTCCTCCTGAAAAGAAATCCAGAAATGGTTTTAAAGATACAGATACGAGCTCACTTTTTAACATTAAATCTTCATTTCTATTTATGTTCCTAAAACAAATTTTTGTAGTCTCTGCTTTTTTTTTTTAAATGTAGATAAAAAGCATGCTTTACCAAAGCTCGATAAGCGTGAATTACTCGTGATGCATTGGCCTAGTTTACGGTTATAACGCGAGTTTTATTAGACTGACTTTGTTTGTTCTCAGTTTGAGTTAAACATAAGGACAATACTTTGTCGAACGATCGACTTTTATGCATCGGGTATCATGGCTGTAGACGGCGGCCACTGATTAACTGAGCCATGTCAGGCTATAAGTTTTGTTCAGGAGTACATTGGGGGGAATGCCGGTATAGACCTTTGTCAAAATTAACACTCTTCTTCTTTTTTTAAATATATTTCGAAGCTAATTTTTTTTCTTGATCTATTAAAGATCCGTTTAGCCATATTATTACCTAATTAATGGTTAAACCTTTGGAGAATTTTAGACTAAGCTTTATTTGTTTAAGGGTATTCGGATCAATACTGTGAGGAAGGCTTTGGGTTCCGTCCCCTGGCCGAGACATACCAGAGTCTTTAAATATGGTAGTTTCTACTCCTGCTTAACGCTCAGGTATTTAGGAGTGGGACAATTGGTTCGCCCGTTGTCAGTATAATGTAACCGTGTGGGGTGTTCTGCTGGGTGTCTTCGAAAGTATGTTTCAGTAAGGTAGCAGTACAAAGTCGGCATCAGTTCCGCGCTATCACAAGGAGACAAGCACGAACATAGCGTAGCCTCCCAAAACACACGCATACACTACACGCATGCATCTTTCACACAGAGGAGGCCGTCCTTACATAACCATTTTTAAAGACTTTGGTATGTCTCGACCAAGGGACACAACCCAAAGCCTTCCTCACAGCGTTCGTCTGTCTGTCATGTCCCCTCCCCTCTTCAAAACGCTGTTCCTGAACGGCTTTATTGAATTTGACTAACCTTTTGAGTAATAGTTGGAAAAGGGATCACACTGTTGTATAAATAAAGAGAGTGTGGTTCTAGGACAGAGTGGCGTGCCCAATAGAGAAATAATGATAAATCTTCATATTAATTCTCCTTCTGTCAGAAATGAGGGATTTCGAGCAAATTTAATCGAAAGCATCATTAGGCCAAGGATACTACCACCTGGCTGGGAAAGTATAGGTCAGTGGAGAAATACAGCTTAATGTTTAAAAAATAAATAAACTGTAAACCATACACAGATTGGATAACACATAATATACATTTAATAAGTGGATAACACATAATATACATTTAATAAGTATCAGTTCGGTTCTAAAAACATTACGAAAGTATTCATCAAAGATGTGCAATAAAGAAATCATCGTCAATATTCTTCTGCGACATAGTGATTTTCAAGAATGCATATATACATATTTCATATTATTCAACGAGGAGTCAGATCTATAAAAGGTTAATTCTCGATTTCTCAGGTTTATTAACGACAAACAAAAGTATTCTTTACATTAACTTTAAATAAAGTTCCATTCAAAGTTAAATCGTTAAGTGTTTATCAACTATAGAAACACGCGTTTTTAGCGCTGTGTCGTAAAGCAGTGGTACTTGTGTTGACCAGAACTCTAGTCCACATGAAACCGTCTAACCGCGTCGAACTAAGTAGAAGTCAACGGTAATATCGATTTCTATTCACAATTTTAACACCTATAACAAAATATTAAGAGAGAACGACCTTGGCATTGTAATCAGAGAAGAACAATATTAAAAGACTTAAAATAAATGATGAACACATCAAAATAACAAAGGTTGGAAAATAGTAATTGGGGTACTTTCAAAAAAAGATGGTTATAAGTTCAAAACATCAATATAAGATGTAGAGCGTGTGCCTTATTAGACGACTGTTACAATAGGAAAAGTTTCCAAACTCTTTTTACATCCTAAGTTGCATGAATATGACAGGTTTCAAAAAGTTAGATTTTACTAGGTTTCTTTGACATTTTGGAAAACAGTCTTGTGTAGGTAGCGAAAATAGACATAAAACTGCACTTATGATAGGCTCAAAAAACTTCAAAGGATTTATTTATGATGATTTATCTCAAACGGGAATCGGAAATAAATCTATGACGTCATTCGCGCTTCCTGAGATGATGAGGTCCCATGAAGCTTTATGGATTTGCTTTCAGATCGATCAATTCTTACAACTCACTTGTTTAATCCCATGAAACTCTCATTTAGATCAGATCCTGACAAGATTGTGGTTAGCAGGAATGCTTTATGTGGGTGGTTCATACGTCAGTATGTACCTATATTTACCTTTATATTTTCAACTGTTACAGATTATACAAAAAGTCTCTGTTGAAGCATAATCGATATATTTAAATTTTAAGTCGTCTTGGCACCATGCCAGATGAGACGGGTACAATATGTCGTATATCCAACATGGTTTATTTATTATATGGTATTAATAACATATTCATGTTGGTTTGAGAGGGTGAACGTGCACGTGTGTCAACATACACAGGTAATACACAGGTAGAAAATCCATAGCTCATCAAATAATCAATACTTATCGCTTGGCATCACAAACAAGATTGGTTTGCTAACCTTCTTGCTTGAACGTGCGGCTAACGGCATTTAGAATCATTTTTTGCACTTGTGATATTAGATTTTCAATGAAGCTTATTGTAATGTATTTCCGTATGTATTACAGATATCCGTTCAAGGTAAGAAATGCGAAGGAAATTAAATGATTGTGGACTTGTCAAGAAATGTCATAATGTCTTGTTAAGCAAACTAATATTTGAGCTAATGTCTATACTTAGGTGCCATAAAATTGGATTCCAAGTACAGCTATTCTGCTTCCGTTATGAAAACATATCAATAATATGATATCATTTTTTTTGTTTTTATAATATTGACGACACACTGTTTCCATTTAAATACCAATACATTCATACAAATTCTAACAAAATCGAAGACCAGGATCAGCGCTGGTTTCGTTATAGGTGTTAAAATTGTGAATAGAAATCGATATTACCGTTGACTTCTACTTAGTTCGACGCGGTTAGACGGTTTCATGTGGACTAGAGTTCTGATCAATACAAGTACCACTGCTTTACGACACAGCGCTAAAAACGCGTGTTTCTATAGTTGATAAACACTTAACGATTTAACTTTGAATGGAACTTTATTTAAAGTTAATGTAAAGAATACTTTTGTTTGTCGTTAATAAACCTGAGAAATCGAGAATTAACCTTTTATAGATCTGACTCCTCGTAGGCACCCAAGTTTCAGTGTAAATTAAAAAGTAAACGTACATTTATGTATACTGCCAGACAGACATTTAAACATTTATTGACTTGGTAAACATTAATAAGAGAATTACTCATAAAGGCGCATTTTTATCATCAACTGTTGAAAATAGCAACCTGTGATGTTAGTGTATACTTTATTTAGAAACATTGCCGGATTTAGATTAAGATATCTTCTTAATGTTTAAACATAACGCATATTTTCATCCATGCATAATTCAATGTCATGTTTAAAGCAGAACAAGGATTCGTCTGCGAAACAGCAATTCATACAGTATTAAGATAGGGTTCTAGTTTTCGAAGGAGGCTATGAATTGACGCTGATATAAACATTATCAAACTCAATCATATTTCAACATTGATTGATTAAACTATAGTGCTTTAGAAATGTCAGTACACGAATTTCAAAATAGTTTAGTTTGTTTTAGTATTGTTTAACGTCCTATCAACAGCTATGGTCAATAAGGAAGGCCTCTCCTGTGTGCAAGATGCATGCGTGTGTGTTTTGTGAGGCTGCGATATGTTCGTGTTTGTCTCATTGTGATACCGCGGAACTGATGCCGACTTTAGTGCTACATCACTGAAACAAACTGCCGAAGACACCCAGCAGGACATCCCACCCAGTCACATTATACTGACAACAGGCGAACCAGTAATCCCACTCCTAAATTACTGAGCGTTAAGCAGGAGTAGAAACTACCATATATATAGACTCTGGTATGTTGGCCAGGGGACAGAACACAAAGCCTTCCTCGCAGGGGCGAACGCTCAACTAAAGGCCAAAAGAGAGGCATTGTTAAGGAAGACATTAGGAAGAAGAAAGTTGTTTAGAAAGAATGGAAAAGATATGATCCCAAATTTACTCGCCTCTTACGATCATGCAATGGGGGCACCAGGTACAATTCTTACGCGCTACCTGCAGGAATTTTTCAAAAGAGTATTTAAGTTTTTGATGATCAAAGATACAATAGTGTTTTTTTCAATAATGCAATAAACTGTATTTCAGGCAGTATTTTCTAAACTTATTTGCCAGCGACATACAATATCTTTCCATTTGATTTGGTTAATGTGAAACCACTCATTACCGTGGGGTTTGTAATTTCGTGGGTAATTTTCATTGATTTTTTTTTATTATACCAGTATACTTACGAATACAGATCTTAACCTTTTACCATTCAGTTTTTTGTATTGTATTAAAATGAACAAGTGTTCTTTATTGTTATCATGCCCGATATGACTTAACCATTGCTTGACCGTTGAGGTTTGTTTGGTTTGTATTGTTTATGTGCTGGAGGGCGTATTTGTATGTGTGCTGGAGGGAGGTTATGTAGGTGTAATGGCCTCCTTGAATCCAACTTTACAGTGCTACATCACTGAACTACCATACCGAAGGTCAAATTATACTAACAACTAGTTTTGTCATTACCCTAAATGCGGAACGTTAAACAGGAAATAGCAAGTACCATTTTAAGGGCCTTTGAGCAATCGACCAACCATGTTTTTTAACAAAGCTGTTATGACAGCAAAGATAATTACCAGAACAGAATTATTTTTTTCATCTACACTTGTATATCGTGTTTGCCCGTTCGACCCGCCCGTCTATAAGTACCTAAACAAACAATTCGGTGTCTTAAAATGGTTTGACAGTTTCACTTATTTTCTTTAGATATCGATACTCACCAAGGTGTAATCTTTTGATTCCAGTTTTTCGCCATTCACGTACAGAATCGTTTCACGTCGGTCTACAACATAATGAAACATACCTGTATCTTAGTTCAGCAATGCATCAGGAAATATCGTACAGAGAAGCTAAATCAAATCATGTAAGATTATCCGAGGTTAATACTTCATAAACCTTTTTATCCCTTTCCCATAAAATCAGGGTGGGGTTTATAGCGTTACCCATTTCAATCCCGACCCCTCACGATTTACTCAATGTCTTTTTTTATGCTTAATAGACGTTAGCAAAATAACGAGCAAATGGATATACTATTCTCTGTGAAATTTTCTTTTTCTCCAATTCTCCTTTTTAAATTATCGTATGGCCCCAAAAAATAGCTTTTTAGGTTACCTGAGACAAAGTCTCAAGTGAACTATTGCGATCGCCTTTTGTCCGTCGTTGTCAGTCGTGCGTCCGTAAACAATTCACATTTTCGCTTTCTTCTCCAAAACCGCTGAACCAATTGCAATGAAATGTTGCAGAAACCTGCCATGGCCGATGGTCAACAAGCGTTATGGAGGATATGGTCCCCAGCCNAGATATGGTAGAATCAAATACTCTTCATAGATAGAAGGGTCTTAAGGTGCTTTACCAAAATTGTGAACGTGTCCCCCTGGGGAGGGGGTAAACTTTACTATAGTTTATATAGGGAAATCACATTTTGGACCAACATTTGTTAAATTTTCATTGGAAGTAATTCAATTTGGTTTAGCATTGTCAGTATTGGATAGCAGTTTGATTGTATGCACATATCAGCCCTGACTGACCCCCCAGGGACTGATGGGTTGGGCCAAAAAGGGTTGAATTGACTGAAATTTCAAAAATCTTCTTATCCAGACCCAGATATGGTAGAATCAAATACTCTTCATAGATGGAAGGGTTTTAAGGTGCTCTACAAAAATTGTTACTATTATGACCCTAGGGACTCACGTTTACCCCTGGGGAAGAGGGGGAGGGGGGCAAAATGTATTATGGCAAATGATTTTCCTTGTTTAGAATCAGAGGTGCTAGTTTCAAATACTTTTCAGTCTTAAATCAGTATGCTAGATATTGAATAAGGTTGTTTATAAATATATCAGAACTCGGGTGACCGTTAAGGTCCATGGGCCACTTGTCATAAGAGGAGGTCCTTAGGTTCAAGTTCTGTATATCCAAAGTACATATATGAATACCGCTGTGCAATTAGGGCTTTTAATATTACTTGTCATCAGGTTAAAATAAGTATGTCATCTTTTAGTGGGTTTGTTGAGTCTTAACCAGCTACAATAACGTAATGTCGCAAGGACTACAATAACGTAATGTCGCAAGGAACAATAACGTAATGTCGCAACGACTACAATAACGTAATGTCGCAAAGACTACAATAAGGTAATGTCGCAAGGAACAATAACGTAATGTCGCAAGGACTACAATAACGTAATGTCGCAAGGAACAATAACGATTTCGTAAACTTGTTTAGACGTGTCAAAAACGCGAGTTTTCTCACGACAAAATATTGATTGGTGAGTTTGAATCTTGTTTAATACTTATTTATACGCCATTAATAACGATTCGCCAACTGTGTTAACACTTACACCATAAAACTGTGTAGAAACAGCCTCCATTAAATATATATCCGGTCCTTCTGTTTGTTCGTTCATTCATATTTTGTTTCCAACATACATTCACCGTTCTCCTTATATAAATGTTGTTTATGCATGGTCCACATGTAATCAATATATCATTTTTCATACCTTGGATTTGTTAGGAACATCGGTAAAGTATCGATTAGGGAATTTTTAGCGACATTCCACCCTTGTCGCACCCCTGTCCATCTTTTAAAATCTCAATCAACACATAGCTGTAGATGATACATACAGCTATCATATCATGTTTATGTTTGTAACTATGTTGGTTTTCTGCAGGTGAGATACGGTGTGTGGTGGGTAAGAAAATATGCGGTTTAAAACAATGGGCCTTATGTATTGCATTGCATGTCGTAAAAAGAGATAAATTTGGGGGTCATGCAGAATAAGGGGTATTCTTTCGTATTCTGCTTAGGAACAAACCCAAAGTCGATATATTGAAAACATTCGAACGTATGTGTTCTCATTCTTTTTATTGTCTCCCTGCCTTTCCATTTCCTTTTAGTGGTATCTCATCAGATTCCCATTTACAGATACTTCCAATACTTTTTGAGCAATAGGGCTCAACAACCTTTACTCCCAAATTCAATATGACCACCTGCCAGCCATCTTGGTTTTCCAGTCATCCCCCAAATTTGAAATGCTGAACTATATAGAACCATTGGGAACCTGCATATGAAAGAGAAAGATCCCTCCAGTACTTTCTGAGAAATAGCGCTTACAATAATTGTTTAAGGACGGACGGACCACGGACAATGGACGCAGGGTGATTTAAATATTGCACCATCTGATGATAAAAGTTCTTACCTACCTAAAACCTACAGCCACTTTTGCTTTTCAAGTTTACGTGTTTTTTAAACTTGCGCTATCCATTACGCCACCCGACCAAAGTATAATGATATCTATTGTCTTGATGGGTCGTCAAGTACTCCACATCTTACTAACAAAGTAACCCGTCATATATACTTTCGGCTGTTGCAAAGACGTTTAACCACAGGCAAACAAGCAAACCAAACCTTTAATGTTGTAAGTTTAATTTACAAGTTCTACTTTCTATGTTCAACTGTATTGCCTTCAAAATAAAACACCAAAAAAATTAAAACAGTGACAATTAGTTTATATTATTTTATAGATACTGAATATCTAGGTTTTTAAATATTTGCCATGTTGCATCATTTTCTGTATTTCTTGGTCTTTTCGAAACCATTTAAAAAAATGTTTTCATGTTAAAGTTTAAGAAATGCATGTAAGAAAAAATGAATGAATTAAAAAGAAAGAATGAAGGAAGAATCAATGAATGATTTAATAAATGAATGACTCAACTATTGAATGAATGAACAACATTCACATTCTACCTAAATCTTTGACAGCACAACACCGTGCTATAACATAAAACATCAAATCACATTTTAATAATTCATAATCTAATCACTGATTCAAACATACTTATTTCCGACAGATCTGGATGCACTTCCTGTCACCGCCTCACTCAACTGAACCAGCGAAATACATAGACATAGACATACGCTGCAATCGCAACGCCTCCGTGATTTTTAAAATATGTGCATGATTGAAAATATCAAGCTACGAATACCTGATCATAAATGTGGCATAAACTATTTATTCACGATGAGCCTAGTGCTTGTGATAGTGTAGAACTACGTCCATGATATTTTTCTTAACTAGCCAAATGAGACAAAAAATGTAGTTAAAAGTGTACAAATATCGTGCTGATAAGGACTATATAATATCTTAAATCTTGGTTGTGTTTTTTCAACAAATTTTGCCTCAAGGTCAAAGGATGTATATATTACAGTGGGTTTTTTTTACCTCGTAAGATATACCAATGTGCATACAAGTTTATCATTGTTACATTCATCATATACATACTTTTCGAGTACAAGAATGTTTTACCATAACCTTCAAGATATTGTTATTAAGACCCTTTTTATCACATAGATCGACCTTTATGGTATCTTTTGGAATTCTATGTTTCACATAGAAATAGCCAAATCTGCTTATGTATACATTATACTCATCGATGAGTGAGATCACCGTAAAACTCTTGATACATTTTCTATCAGAATTGTAGAATTACTTGACCTGTGATTATTTCGCACTTATATTACATCCTGTGTAAATTGAATAAAGTGTTGGCAGTTTGTTATTGCACGCATTGCACACATATTGCATACATATCCAACGTCATTGAGACAATATTAAACATTCATCACACGGAAATAATCTGCGACGATGTTTTGATTATGCTTGTTTGAGTGCCTTGTGGTTTTGTTGTCACTACCCGAGTTCTCAATGTGAGACTTAGATTTACATGGCGGGTGTCGCCGATGAAGCAGAAGACGCTTACCCGTCTGGAACACTTGGTCTTATTATCTTTGTACGTTTTCAAGAGTATCCATGTAAATGTTTCATTTATTCATATTTTGCCCTAGTTTTTATTGAATTTTTAGCTTGAATTATGTTTTAGTTGTCACTTTGGTAATCTCTTATTGTTTTAAGAAGTCTTCAATGTAAAAAAAACAACATGAATGACAGTATGAAACTACAAGAAAATCCTACTTTAATCGTCTTTCTATGTGTATATTTTCTCTAATAAAAGGAAATAATAGATATATATTAATAACCGAATATTTATATGCCAATTCAAAATTACAAAAAATGGGGGGACATGTATACTTCCAAAAGTAAATTCTACCTAGTAACATTAATCAGGGAAAACGAATTTGTACAACATTAAGCAAATCTACAATCTATATTTAATTCACAGGAATATCTGTGTTTCACGGGAAATTACGTTATAACAGTCCTAAAAAGCGACCAAGTTGTTATTGGTTGTCAGTAAATTGAACTCTTGTTTGTTGAACCAGCAATACCAGTCTGACGACATTTTTTTTCTATAATTGTGTGATAGAATCGCGATGTTGTGTATCTTCAACTCCCTGATGAATTAACTAATTCAAACAATTTATTTACATTGCATTAACTTATTGACTGTAAGCAATAATCCTTTGATCGAGTAATGCCGCATAAACATATATCACACAGCAGAATAACTGTAATTTATATAAAATCACCTGGAATCAAATGTAATTGTAAAATTGTGCTGACATAAAAAAAAGAGAAGTGTAACTTTGACCTATTTACCCAGCCGTTCATGGTAGATTCGAGCTAGCTTGTCGTCAGTATTTGATCATGGGCGGAGCTTAACATAAAAGCTGGTATAAACACTTTATGATTCTAGGGATAAGCTTATGCTCTTTATTCTTCCAAATCATTCTTTGACGAGACGCTTAAGTCAAGTGTCGGAAAAAGATTTTGACTTCATTTTTTTAAATTTAAATACAGATCAACCGCTATTGTTAAACCGGGATTGACACAAAAAAAAACGGTATGCATCCTTTTCAGTGTTGTTTGAATACTCACACCCTCCCTCCATTTGGTTGTTCAATGTCGGGTCAATTTCACTGATCAAATTTCATTTACGATAAAGCAATCTAAGATAATGTGTAAAATGCCAATTTATTGTAATGGTATTAATGCCTTGTTATTGAATTAATACTGACCATACGGGACACTTCTAAAAAAATCATGTGAAAGTGTTACGAAATAAAAGGAAAAGTAAGGGTTGGTTTGGTTTAGTATTGTTTAACGTCCTATCAACAGCTATGGACATTTTAGGACGCACTCCCCTGTGTGCAAGATACATGCGTGTAGTGTAAGCGTGTGTGTTTTGGGAGGCTGCGATATGTTCGTGTGATAGCGTGGAACTAATGCCGACTTTATAGTGCTACCTCACTGAAACACACTGCCGAAGACACCCAGCAGGACACCCCATCCGGTCACATTTTACTGACAACGGGCAAAGCAGTCGTCCCATTCCTAAATTGCTGGGCGTTAAGCAGGAATAGAAACTTCCATTTGTATAGACTCTGGTATGTCTCGGCCAGGGGACAGAACCCAAAGCCTTCCTCACAGGGGCGAGCGCTCAACTAAAGGCTAAATGTGAGGCATTGTCAAGGGAGAGCATTGTCAAGGGAGACATTAGGAAGAAGAAAGCTTTTTAGAAAGAAGAGAAAAGATAATATCCCAAATTTAGTCGTCTCTTACGCTCATGCAATTAGGGCAAAAGGTACAATTCTTACGCGCTACCTGCAGGGACAGAAAACTGAAAGTGATTGTACAATGTGGATAGAGGCTGTGTTCTGTTTTAACTGTTGTAAAGGGTAATACGCACTTCCTCTTCTGTTTTAACAGAAGTTTAGACCAGTTTGCATGTTCACCTGTTTGACCCCTGGCATCAAGAATGATACATAGAAAGACGAAACAGCTGTATGGTGCCACCAGCAGTGTAATTTATTATTAGTATACTGTATCTATTACAAAATTGCAATCACATGTATGTGTGTTGTGGTCATTTACTTGGATTTGACGTCATAGTACTAAAATGTAATATCAACAACAACCAGTTTCAAATTCTCGATTACCATTTGGCAGGAACTACCATAAATACCATACCGGTCACTTCTGGTTGAAATTTTATGTTTGGTTCGGTTTATTTTTGTTTTACGTCCTATTAACAGCCAAGGTCATTTAAAGACGTGTCTCCATGTGGGTAGTGTATGCGTGCTTGCGTGTGTGCATGCAGTAGACAGGGTATGTTGGAGTACTTGCCTCCTTGTGATAGCGCGGATCTGATGCAGACTTTATAGTGCTAGCGTCACCTTAGATAATTAACAATGACATGTTGTCAAATCTTAAAAAAATGTATTGTTTGTTTAAAGTTCTGTTATTCCGTAGAAAAGGTGTTTGTGCCTATTAATCAAAATATGGACAATTGCATTTTTTTCAATAATGTACATTATTTTTTGTGTTTTGTAATCGTTGGAATCATATTCAAGGCAAGAATGATTTAATACAAATTATACAATATAATTATAATATGTGTGCGTGTGTGTGGGTGCATATTTGTCTCTATAGCGCATCCAAGTGACGATAGACATACTACTCTTCCAAATTCTTTAAAATTATCTGCTGCCCACCATTGCAACACTATTGATCTTTTTCCTTTCCTATCCATTTTTTTCTTTCCTGTCGTCTTTCCGATGCTGTTTACCTAGGCACCCGTCCTCATATGACCCTGGCTGTTACGAGGACGTTAAACCCCAAACAAACAAAACCAATCCTGATATTAACCTACGAATGATTGTGAATAAGCTGGTACAGTACAAACTCTGCAGCTCCCAAACGTATGTGAAAACAAATACATTTACAGAGCTAGAATGCTACTTCCGGAAAGTCACCCTTGTTATTCAAACATGTGATACAATGACGTCAGCAGTTTCTATGTTACTGAATCTCCGTTGGTGAAATAATCCTCCAACAGCTTGCTATCTATAAATTGTTAATGTATGTAATCTGAGTAATATGTAAGCAATATGGTCAATACATTCTGTTCAAAAGTGGCAATTATTTGTTTTAAAAAAATAACAAGCACGATAAATTTGTGACATTTCAGTAAAACTCGACTTTGTAAAAAACATGGCAAAACAATGAATTGGCCATTTAAAGTCGTGACGAATTATCGGATATTTTCCATAGTAATTTGTATGTAAATTGATATTTGCCGTTGACGTTTTCATTTACAATTTATCTTAGACCATTTTACTAGACTTGATGACTTCTCATGTATTGATGGGTCGTTAAGAAAGTAGTGATAACAATAGTATGGGTTCGTCGAAAACTAGTATTGTGTTTGGGTGTGAAATAAATTCCATAACTGTCAATTCATATCTGCGCTATCGCAAGGAGGCAAATACACCAACTTACTGCTTTTAGCACACACACATTGATTACACAAGGAGGCACGCCCTTAAATGACAGCTGTTAATAGTACACGAAACCCATTAAAACCGACAACCAAAAGATATTCAAATGACCTTGACTTGTGAATGGAAGCAAAAAGCATGAAGGGACAATATCAGTTATATAAATATGAAATATAATTTTAAAATGATATACGGGGCAGTTTTTATGTTGATGACACTAAATCTGAACAGTGGTGTAGCTGTGATACTAGTAGTATTAGTACGTCATATATGTCTATAAACACACACACACACACACACACACAATTGTGTTCAAATTGTGATCGTGATAGTCGATCTGTGAAAAAAACTTGGTCAAAAAAAGATGGTAGGAAACAGCAGGTACACTTAATGAAACACGAAGTAAAAGTCTGCCAAGAGGGACACCATGCAAAAGTCAGAAGGTGGGAGGGAGAAAGAGATATAGTCAAATATTGCAATATCCCTGCCTCTATAACCTATCTATGTCCCATCTGAATACGTAATCAATATTATGGACACAGGTCATGATTCCCATCATGATCTCATCGCGAAATATGCCATTTATGTAGAGTATGCGTATATTTAATATACAGAAAGAAGTATCATGCTCTTCACTCTAAAATTGCTAACGCTTCAACAGTTTGTGTGTTCGTCAACCTTTTGTTTCATGCATTTTGTAAAAAGTGTAACCGGAGGAACATGAAAACTGAAATTTACAGCCGATGCCGTTGTCCATTGAAGAAAATTATAATAGCAAAATCATGTTGCCAGCCGTTATAAACTACATGTGACCTTACACAGTTATACACAAGTTACTTACATAGTCTGACGACGTAGAGGCTTTCCTGGCCCTCAGACGGGCCATACATGAACTTCCATTCTGAAAACTCCGAATCGAATATGACTTCGTGCGAAAACGGTGAGTCGTCATATACCGGGTCCTCCCACAATGGGGCGCCTGTCGGTTGGGCGCCACCATTGCTGTCGGAATACTGAAAGTTGGCCGATGCCTCGGCTTGAGACTGTGCTAGTTTTGCCTGCAAACTTCTTTTAGTCTCCTGCTGTTTTTTCTTTGTCTTTAACATTTCAGCCCTACGGAGAAAGCAAAGGATTGACTTTTTATTAAAGTTTTTGAAATTCAACACTAAAAAAATACATGAAAATACATCTACCAAATCTTGAAAAACACCCTTGCATGTTGTTCGTTGAAATAGCTCCTATTTTTCACTGCATTTTGTAAAGGAAAACCAATGTGGAAATTTGCTGGTGTACCCTCTACTAAATCTGCTGCACCCATTGCAACGTTTGATAATTTAAGTGTTTTCTCACTTGGTCCTAACAACGTTTTACATTTGTATGTCTTAGCGCCAGGCTTGGACATGCCAATGTCCTTAAATTGGTAAGTGTTATCCCAGGCTAAACCTTCAGCATTTCGGGTAATGGCAACAACATTTCGTTGTGTAACGGTATATATAGGACACCAAAACAGTAGGAAAGACAACATAAAGATCTATAGGCAATAGCGAACGCTATTTCAGTTATTTCTGTTAACAACAAATGAACAGACATTGGGTGTGACGTATATATATTATATGACTTAACATTTGATTTTTGACATATAAATAGGTATTTTGAGCAAAACATTACCCAAAAGGTTTATATGAAAATTTTTGCGTTTCAAAATTTAATCAAAATATTAAAAATGTATGGCCTTAAGTTACTTTGTTTAGAAGTTGTGGAGATACTTTGCCAGGGGCAATATCTTTGAATAAAAACTTGTGATTTTGATAGAGGTATTTCATCGTAGAGATATCAATAAGATAGAACATCTTTAAAATGTAACTTGTTTACAATGGATTGCAACCGATTGCCCTAAAAATGACTGGTTGATTGATTTACCCCTGAGCTGATTGACAGACTGACTAATTACTTCGTTATCAATTAGTTGACTAAACAATATCGATGACCTATCAACAAAAAAACTCAAACAAGACCGATCTAGTTTATGAGTTTTAAATGTCAGTAGAAAAAGTAAATTTAGTTGAGTGGAAATTGCAAGAGTATAATTGTTTGGTTTAGGGTTTAACCGTACAGAGACAGAGAAATATTAATTTCCTCTTTAGTAGATTAAAAAAGGAAGTTTGCGAAATTAGTGTCTCCGAAAAAAAGGTTATTCATGGTATTCCATTTAATTTGCATTTATGTCCCAAACTTTTATTTTTAAATATTAAAATTTGTGTTCATATAACAAACAAAAAAATGTTCAGCTACCAAACAATTGAATTTTTTTTATCAAACTTTTTTTTCATATATCCAACTTTTATATTTAGACATAAAACCTTCGTTTCTATATATTTAAATTTTGGGTTCGAAATAAAAAAAAAAAAGATTTTATACATAAGAATCTTGTATTTATGTATCAAGCCTTTGTATTTATATATCGGAGCTTTGCATAAATGTTTCAATTTTTTGTATCTATAGGTTGAACCCGGAAAGAAAGAGAGCTATTGCAGTGTTGACATGTCCAACAACAGTTATATGTTATTTATTCTTATACAATTTTTGAAATAAATATAAGTAAAATGTTGTTTTCAAGATACAAAATGAAGGAATGTTTTCACTCTATAAGAAACGAACGAATCAATATTTTCCTTTTGATCAAACCACAATTATATTTTAGACATGTAACATCCCTTTGCAATTGGCTGATGTACATATATATGTACACTTTCGATTTGTACATATATATCTACACTTTCGAGTCCTATAAACCATAGCAGGAAGTATGATTTTCTAATCACGAAAACAATAAAACTCGGCAATTTAATCCTTAAAAATGTATTAAATTTTAAAACTGAAATGAATTTGAATTCGACACGGACGAAAACATGATACGGAGACCGAAACTCTTAACCATGCGTAAATAGTGAACAAATATTAGAGAATGGTGAAACGAAACATAGTACAGATATGTGAATTATTGAATCGAATAACACCATAATATACACATTTCATTTCTGAACAAAATAAATTAAAACCTAGCACAGAGCCATTGGAATCAATAGGTGAGCTAGGTGATCATGTATGTCTCGGGTAGGGAGAGTATCTGATAGGCATGCCAATGATACACTAGGCCTACATACCTGCAGAACCGAAAATCGATAGGGTATATTAAGTCAAGCATACATATAATAGGAAAATCTGGAAATAACAGTGACGTGTCCTGTTGAATACCGACCGTATACTGTATGTGTACGATCCAGTACACCACATATGCGACTAACTCAAAATTATATATACAAGCTATGGAGGGAAAGGCGGGTGTGGTCGAGTATCTCAAAATTGCTGTGAAAACTCCCTATAACTGAATTGATTTCCTTAACCAAAATGTTTATATACAAGTACTGAGTTTCATATGTAGTCCTAAGTAGAAGAGTGAAGATTTTATTTGTTTGTGTAATGTCGATAGATCATGTATATGCGAACGCCAATTCCCACTGCACACGGTTTATGTTTGCTTGGTATTTCTGTACGATAGCGCTCTCTCTAAAGTCGGCATGTCTCAGAAGCAAACAGAACATACATGGAGGCACGTCCTAAACGACATGGCCTATAAACTAATAACCCAATTATATGTAATGCACTACTTGTAACGTCTATAGGTCATTGCATTCTTATCGGCATGACAATGGACGTTTAACCCTTCCGTCTTTAGACTTTCGAAGACGGGAACATACCGAAATCCTAAAATCGTGTAATAACCTTATAACTTGCTGCACAAACGTTCAGTATGTCACTTGGTAGAGTACTATGCTGTGTAGCGTGCCAATATGTGAAAACAACCCAATGTGTGAAAACAGGAAAAACTATATGGAATTCATTAATTACTGTGTTTATTTTAGACTTTCTTTGAATAAGAAGTAATTAACAGATAGTAACTTAACATTTATTCATGTTTTCACATATTGGGTCGATAGGATTTGTCCTATCATGTGCAACCAATTCGTGAAAAGTGAGAAATTGCTTATTCGTGGATTTAATTAGTTTGGATGGTTCACCTTAGAGTTAGTTTGAATTATAAGTAATTTAAACACAGTAATTAATGAACTCAATTTAGTTTTCTGGCATTTCAGTTAGGTAGCACTCTACATTTGGCATCGGATCCAAGATTTCACAAGGAGATAAGTAAAAAATGATACCGATTCCAGCTTACACATGTAAGTTACATACATAGAGGCACGTTATTAAACAACCTTAGCTATTATTAGGACGATTAATCCAATAAAGTACACCATTGCTGTTTACCAACATTTTTGGCGTAACTATTCATGTCCATTGTAGGTTACTGGTGCTTTTTTTAAACGAAATGACTTCATTATAAGTGGGGTTAATTATTTATATATTGGGATATTCCTTTTTATATTAGGTTATTGGAAATATTGATTTTCGCGGGTGCTCTTCGAATTTCTGATGTAAGATGATATTAATTCACGTACGGAGTAATGCAAGAATCTATTGTATGTTTTAATTATTGGTGGTTCTTTCCCGAGAGTTGAGCAAGTAATTTATAAATGCAAATAATAAATTTCCATTGAAATACCAGTTAACAATGCAATGAAAAAGATATTAATGTATCGACGTTAAAATCCGACCGCAAGTCTTGGAATGTGTTCAGTCGCCAGTGCAGCAATGGAAACTGTGTAACAGCTTAAAAACTATACACGATGATTACATTTCTTTTAAATGTCATTTTTAATTCTCTATTAATCTTACAGAAAACAAAGAATAAAGAATATTAAAATATCACTTTTAAAACGTCAGCTTGGTGAAACAAACGAAAACTTCTAAGGATTTTGCACCATATCTGACGATTAATAATTATGGATTAAAGCATGTAAGATTGTCGATATCAACAAAACACGTTATGCTTGCATTTTGGTTCACGACTTATCTGTGCTGCATAATTAGGTAGTAGATATTTAGTAGGTACTTCGCATTCTTATGTTGATCAGCTGATTATATTTATCAGCATTTCATCAGTTCATTGTGTTTTTGAGAAATATATTATTTTAAACATTTTTAATTCGTTTGAGCACGTGCCGGGATTACTTTTAGCATACTTGCATTCATAAATCATCGATTCAAATAATCACATTATCTTTTCACGAATGGAAATCAGTTAAAACTGTGTTTATAACAATGATATCATTAATCAAATGTTTATACTGCAGCTAACGCAACCTTAAACTGATCACTTTTCAGCAATACATATATCCGACCTTATTGAATGTTGTAAAATCGATTCCTAACTTTATTGGTCCCAGGATATGCATTTTTGTTGTGAGATATGCCGGTACTATAACGATTAGTTGGTTATTGCAATGTCTTGGGCCTGATTTTGATTCGGTTTTATCGGGTTTTACGTCGAGTGAACATCTAATGTGATATAGGAACGTGCTTCTGTGTGTTTATTGTATGTGTGCATGCGTGTATGTATTCTAGAGGCGGTATCCTGGTGCAATTGCCTCCGTGTAATAGCGCTGATCTGATGTAGGCTTTGAAATGTCACCTAACTGAAGTACCTTGCCTAAGGCACAGTATTTCACCTGGTCGCATTATACCGTAAACGGATAAACCAGTTGTTCCCATGTCCTAAAAGCTTACCGTTAAGCAGAGAACAGATACCATTTTTTAAGACTGGGTATTCCCCGGCCTCGGGACAGAACGCATCGCATACCCACCTTCGGTTAAAGTTCACCACGAAGGCCGAAATGATAAAGTATGTTCAATATGTCGGCATACAATTGAAATGATAAAGTATGTTCAATATGTCGGCATATAATTGGTAATATTTCCTAACTATAATAAAAAACGCTTTTTAGAAACGCTCTTTCATATGTAGTATTATCTCAAACAGATACAACCCACGGACGACAAAAATAAATCCAACAAAGTAATAATGACAGGGTTAAGGACATGGTCATTATTGGAAATAAAATTTGACACAAAAGAAAAGAGGAGAAACAAACTCAATAGGAAGATGTCATATAACCTCCTCGGAATAGCCTGGATCTGAAACCGACTTTAGCTCGCTTCCTCACATGAATGCCATGCCAAAGGAACCCCACATATATTTCCATCCGATCACATTATACTAACTGGGTTAATCAATTATTGCTTTTACCCTAAATAATTAACCTTTAGAAGGGAATATAACTTGATCAGTTTACTACTTGGTGGTACAAAAATGTTGTTAAAGTTTTGTGACTACACGTCGCACCAAAGATAGCATGTATATATCGTGCACACACACAAATGTGTGATTTGGTACAAATGGTTGAGCAACATTACGTATGAAATAAGGAACATTGCTTATATACATTTCTTATTATATTGATTAAGAGTATGTTCATTTTTCCTATGCGTGTTACACAGAATTACAGTGACCGTTAGACTGTCAAGAATGGGTTTGGCTCCCAGGTAACAGAACAGGTTAAGAACATTTTGATGAATGATCGCGGTTTTACCTTGCGTCCCACGCCTGTGCCTGACATAGTGAGCCGATATAGTATACAATATGATTGTTATGAAAAACAACTGGACGTTATAAGTATGTATTAGCATTTTTTAGGTCAATGGCTCCCTTTCCCTGGATTTTCATACCTTGACGTGTTACGTCAGTGCCCCGGGCGGGGAAAAATACGGTCCAGGTACATGTACAAAGTGGTTATGTTAACTTGTGTATGGAATCGTGTCCATGTGAGTTATAATATTTTACACGTGTCGATTCGTGTCGTTTAAATAACACCGGAACACTATATCTAAATTCAAGAAAAATATACAAAGATCAGCTTATATATGCAGCTAGAATGTAGAAACATACTTTCATCGTGTAACGTTCTGCTACACTTAAGAGGGACATGTATATCATCACGATCGGCATCATATCCGTGCTATCGCAAGGTGGCAAATACACCAACATACTCTGCCTCCATCACACATACGTACAAGCACGCATGCATTAAAAACATGGAGGCAAGTCTTTAAATGACCTGATCTGTTGACTAATAGAATCTTCCCCTATCTTGAGGGTGTGACAGAGAAATATCTAACTCCACAAAAATAAATAGACAACTCCACCGACAATAGTCTGCAATATTTGAAAAAAAAACACACGTGGCGTTTACATATCGTCATTCACTTTTCATGACGGCACAACTACCGCTGACGCATTTTAATGACGTCACAATTGAATACGTGCTAATCGACACGAGGCTATCTCCCCCTAGGGAGTGTTATATAGGTAAACATCAGCTACAGTCAGGAAAAGAATAGTAAAAATGTTAATAGAAAAAGCCATTTGTCTTCTGGAATTTTATATGAAAGTTGTCAAATGAATTCCCTGCTGATTAGTGTTGTTTGCACTATATGAATAGAATATGGAAGAAGAAGACTTTTCCTGTCTGAGTTGTCGTCCGTTTTGAGTTCGATATGTATATCGTGTCGAAGGTTGGTAGTTAGCTACAAATTATTCAGGAATCTACTGTGGACGTCATAACGCCAATTATTCTTAACTTTTTGTATTATGTTCCGATTTTAAAATGATGTCGAGGTAGATTATGATTCGTATTTGAGGTATTTTAATTATTACCCAAATAAAAATACAACACGTGTCATAGGTCACTTTACATGGATCAGGTCATCATTGGAACTAGAAATTAAAAGCTGATAATTCGATACAATTTATGTGCAATCAAGCTTTTAATATTTACTCTCTATTGATCTTTATAAGATATGACATATTTTCCAACAAATTCGTTTTCTATTGGTTTTTTTTTTTTGTTTTTTTACATCTTTTATGACTTTTTTTTGATGGTTTGATTTATTCTGTTTTGGTGAAGTCTATTTTTACCGTGTTGTTTGGCCCTAGTTGACTTACATTGTCGATAAGCCATAAAACAAAACAAAGTTTATACGAGACGACAAAAACGGAAGCAGAATAAAGCACAACAGGAGATTGTCGATCTTTACAATAAAATATGATATATCCTGTGCAGCCAATTTGTTCGATTTGATGTATTTCTTAATCCTTTACACATTTAAGCTATTTAGTTTCCTTTACACATTTAAGCTATTTAGTTTTGGTTGGATGTGTTTATTTTCGTGAATGTCTCTTTTTACAGTGTTGTTGGCCCTTGATGACTCGCATTGCCGATGGGCCATTAAACATTACACAAACAAACAAACAAAAGCAGGAAACACTACAAAATTGAGGCAAATATGGTTACTATGATTTTTTTAAATAATTAAAAAAATAAAGATAAAATGTGCATTTGAAATATTCGAGTTTGGAGCTCGATCATGCAAAAATGTCATGGATTGTAGTAACATGTTTAACCACACCATTAAGCCGTTCTTGGTATAATCGATACAAATGACAATAACGGTTCAACTGTGTCAATTCTTGTTTCGTCCATAATGCAAACATGGGGCTTCGGATATTTCTAGGGAACTAGACCGTTCAGATAAAAAAAACGCCACAGTGCTTTTGGAGCCATTATGTTGACACTTTCTGTCGTGTAACCATAAAATTAGCACCGTTTATTTAATCATGTATATACATGAGTAGTTATATTTATGTCAATAATGTTCCTGTGCAAAACCCGTCGTTATCCTGCTCCACCGGAGTAATATAATTGTAGTTAGTAAACGAAATGTTGATTGCACTTATCAATTAATCATGTGAAACTGAGCTGTTCCATGTCACGGGACACTTGTAGCAAAGCTTTACACGAGATATCCGAAACGTTTCATTTGTAGCCTTTCTAGTAAATTTGTACTGTCGCGCAACGCTTATTCAGCATTTTTGTTTCCAATTTAGGGTAAGTTGATGATGAAATCGCAGCATAACTGTGACTCTTTCAATAGACAAATAGCAATATGATCCCGAATTGACGGTCTGGACAATGATACAACCAGATTTGTCTATAGTTTGTCAACAAGACTAGATTGAATGGTGGTGTTACGAAATCGGAAGGAATTTCACGTGTATCTAAAATAACTACTGCTAAATACGATGAACCAGTGAAGGTTATATGTAGAGGTCACGGGACAGCTGAGTTAAATAACTTTGTCAACTGGATGACAGTAACGTGTTGTAGATATTAATTATTTTCATATTAATCTAGAAATGTAATATGTAACTTACCTCCTCTTCTGAGCGAGTCTGTAAGATCCTAATATAGCGGACATGTTGACAGAAATCAGACGGTCTTCCAATCGTTCACAGTCTCTGATCAGGTTATGATCATCTCAGCCTGGCCACCAGGTGGAGCTGCAGACGCTGTCGCCGTACGGTCGCATGGCAACCGCGTATGGCAGGGGACAGAATCAATAAACACAGTGAGCACTGTGTTAGTTTCAATGGACTGAACAACTATACTACAAAAAAAATTGATTCTTAGATAATCAATGTATGTTTTCAAAATCCATTCAGTGTACCCGGCGAGGTTTTCCTGTATCTTGTGCAAGTAGTTGCATTTTCAATAATATGTTGACACTGTAGGGACATTAGACTAACAGCAATAACGGGGTGTTCTGTCCGTGTGAGGCGAAATTTGAAGCTCAGCTACATATTTTCATAATCCATATAACAGAAATTACTGTCCTTTGGAATAGGGAATACAATAAATCAGACCTTTGCACTACGGAATGTAATAAACTTTCAGCCCTTTCCAATACGGAATTTAATGAGCATGTCTCAATACAGAATGTAATAAACATCAGTATTTTGAACTATTGAATATGTCCTTTGCAATACAGATTATGATAACTCCGGCCTTTGGAATATAAGCTGCAGTCCTTTTTAATACGAAATATAATAAATATCAGTCCTTTGTAATACCGAATGTAATAAACCTCGGTTCTTTTGCAATACGAAATACACATTTGTAATATACAGCAGTCTTTTGAAATACGGATTAAAATATCCCTTTGTCCTTTGCATACAGAATATAATAATTTCTAGCCTTTGGGATATAGGCCGCTGGCCTATTTGATACGAAAGAAAATAAATCTCAGTCAGTCCTTTGCAATACGGAATGTAATAAGCCTCAGTCTTTTGCAATACGGAAAGAAAGAAATCTCACTATTTTGCAATACGGCATATACATTTGTAATAAACCTTAGTCTTTTGAAATACGGAATGTAATAAAACTGTCTTTTGCAATACGAAATATATTAAACCGCAGTCATGGAATACGAAATGTAAAACATCGCAGTCCTTTGGAATACGAAATGTAATAAACAGCAGTCTTTTGGAATACGAAATGTAATAAACAGCTGTCTTTTGCTAAACGGAATATAATAAACCTCTTTAGTAATTTTGGATATAATGAGCTGCAATCCTTTTCAGTACGGAATAATATAATAAGGTTCAGTCTTTCTCAATACGAAATATATAATAAACGGAATATATATTTGTAATAAACCGGAGTTCTTTGCCATACTGAATAAATCTCAGTTCTTTGTATTACGGAATATGCTAAACTGTGTTACATCGTTATACAGAATATAATAATCATAAGTCCTTCGCAATACGGAATAAACCTCTTGAGTGGATATGATTTTTTCTATCATATTGAAAATCCTGCTTTCTTTAGTGCGTAAATAACCAATGTTTCTGAAAAATTATATTTTGAGTACAACAAATTCTTTTATCGGATTTCATTGCAAGACTTAAGTGAAGAAAGTAAATATCAGGTCAGTGTTGTACGTTTATTAAATAAGGTCGGACCCAGTCATCTGATGGTGCTTTCAGGCGAGCGTTGAACAAGCGATGCAAGGCCTGCATACAGTTTTGCATGTCGGCCAGGATTTATACCCGAAAATGTTACATTTAAAAACGGACGTACCGGTTGTTCCGCATAGACGAACTGGCTCCTAGATTTAATATAACATACCTGCTTGAGTTCAACTTTGGCCGTATGGTAACATTTTATAAATATAAGGAACTCCCTTATTATTTGTTTTTGCATTCAATAAGATCATCTTTAGATGAATCACTTCAGCTAGAAAACCCGTACAATTATTGCATCTTAACTATGACATACAGGTGATAGTTTTAAATGTTCAACTCTGCGTTCATATACAAACGTTTCGAATAGTGGAGTGTTATACATGAAATAGGTTGCCGGAGGGGTATCTTCCTGCACGTTACAATTTACAGTGTATATGCTAGGTTTCTGTATATTGGTATATTTGTCTCCTTGTGATAGCCAACCCTGCAGGTCGGGGATTTAAACAAGAATAACCTGTTGCGAGGAGATTAAACCTCAAATAAATACACAAATACTGGGATGTGGCGACAAAGGATTGATATGCTGGTTGAATCGAGTTTAACGTCCAATCAACAGCTACTGTAAGGTCATTTAAAGACGTACCTCCATGTGTGTTGTGTATGCATACATGTGTGTTTTTTCGGTGGAGGCTGGGGTATGTTGGTGTAATTGCCTCCTTGTGATAGTGCTGATCTGATGCCGACTTTATAGTGCTACTTTACAGAAATACCATGCCGAAAGCACCCAGCACAGCATTCCGCCCGGTCACATTATACTGTGTGAACCAGTTGTTGCCAAACCGTAAATACTAATGCTGAACGTTAATCAGGGAATAACAACTACCATTTTTTATGGACATTGGCCTGGGGACAAAACCTTCCGCGGGTGTTCGAGCGTTCAACATTTAAGCCAAAAGTGAGGTTTTGTCAAGCATGGCGCTAGGATACAAAAGGTAGTTAGTAGTGAAAAGGAATTTAGATCCCAAATATTGCAATGGTTGTAGCAGATTTAGTTAAGTTACTTTTGTATCCCCAAGTAAAGGGCACAAATGCAAATCCCGAATTCTGCAGGAGGTTCAAATGAACTTACTAAATATTTAACTTGAAAACCATTTGTTTCCTAAATAAATCCCAATATCAATTCTGCGTTTAAGTGGGTTTTTTAATATGTTATTAATTAAGGATGGAATATAAGTAATTCAGAGTCCACTCTATAGCAGAGATGCAAAAACACCAACAAATCGCCTCCAATATCAATGCATACAATATACATACGGGGGCACGTCTTTAATTGACCTCTGTTGTTGATAGGACGCTAACCCTATAAATACAATCTAAACAAGTATGTTAGATAGAAGATCCGGCATGTATTAACGACCAAAGCGTCTAACTTTTCTACAGTTGGGATATATACTCGGTCTACCCATTCAAGCATCAAAGCCACCCAGGGCGGTCATGCATTATACACGAATACTGAATACGGTGTTCGTCAAGGATCACTTGTTCTAAGCTCCAATACCTTTCAGAAAGAAAAAAAAGCTTCAAACACGCCCTTTCCCCCTGACATAAATATTTGGTGTACACTTAATTTTGCGAATATTTGTAAGCGGTGACATTTAGAAGAGCGTATTTTGCAAATATTCATAGATTTCTGATTACACACTAGAAAGACAGGATATCGATTAGTTACTAATTCATTGTGTTCCAATTTTCCTAAAAATATGTAAGGTTTTAAAAGTTAGTAGAAATGCATAGCGGAGAAATTGTTTAGAAGGGAAATGGAATTTTAAAGATATATATTGCATGTTTTATTTATCTCACGAATATGCAAATCTTCATAGAATTAATTCTTGCGCCGCCACTATCCAGTATTTTCGTCAAATGATGTGAATATGATAAGTCATTCGTGAATAAGTTATTGGAACCGACTGACAATTGTTGATGCGATCATGAGATAGCTGCTCTCTTGGTAGGCAAATGTACCTGCGCTTCCACCGGGCTATGCAAAGATACGATGATACCATCCCCCCTGCATTCGTCTTGGTTGGATGATCATAGTCACGTGGAAGTTGGTGTTATTGACTCGGTATAACTTTTATTAAGAAACAGTAGGTCAGCACTATACATAACGACCTGGTCTAGACATTTTAATTGTTTACAAATTAAGTTGTTCTTTGGTGCGTCTAAATCTGTGTCACGTGATGCCGCGTTTCATATATGATCTAATGGTAGCATCAAAAACTGTCAGTCGGTTTCAATAACTTATTCATGAATGAATTATCGTATTCACATAATCTGACGGAAATCTTGGATATTGGCGGCGCAAGAATTCTTTCTATGAAGATTTGCATATATGTGAGATTAATAAAACATGCAATATATCTTTAAAATTCCATTTTCCTTCTGAAATAATTTCTCCGTTATGAACAGTGGGTTCTGTCCTCATGCCGGGACATACCAAAGTCCCTTTATATATATATATTTAAAGAACCCATCACCGGAAGGGACTGAATAAATTATGTTTGAAGGTGTTAGAGGAAGTTAGTTTCAGCTTTTCTTTTACTGTATCAATTTTGATTATTTCTTAATTACCAAAATTATCAAATAAAAAGGTATCCATCCTTTAATGTCGTGTGGGTAAATTTGAAATTTATTTGTCAAGGATGAAATATAATTTACGACTCAAATACGCGTAATTCACATTGCTCAAACATGTTGTTTTTGTCAATTTTTCAAATTACTGAAAAAGTCAATAGCAATAGGTTGTTGATGTCGGGCTGTTTCGACACAATTTACGCGGAAGAGGGTCGATACTATATATTAATATCAGGATTCTCTCCAGAATTTCTATAGCTGATATGTTTCATTTTCAACGAACGTTCAAGCCGGTCACGCTCAATAATACCTGTGGCAATAATACGCCTATTGTGCAACTGACCAGTGGGGTCATTGCTGGACTTGGGTCAGCCTTGTGATTTAAACAGTGTCAATTTCTCGTGTAAAAAACCCATTCAGTACAAATAACTAGGTGATACGGTTCATAGTCTAAGGTGATACGGGTCACTTAAGCTGATACGGCAGGGAGGATTTCAAACTGAAGCTGATACGGAGCCGTATCAGCTAAATGGCCTGGGTACAACCCTGAATTATAGATTTCTTGTCCGGCTACATTTAATAGCTGTATACTGCGGTACTCGCATCCTCAATACTCCACTGGTTTCGCTCACTTGTGCAGAGAACGTTTTCAAGTGGTCGTAACCAATGGAGTATCAAGAAGCGGTGCTCTCAGAAATATAGAAATCGCTGTGCCAGTCGTTCTCGTACAAATGCATCGCCAGACTCTAGTATGTCTTGCATGTATTTCGTATCAACATATTCTTTGTGTTTGCTACCGTATTACCTTTACATTCGTGATGAGCATTAACTAAACTGTCGTTATCTGCACGTGTGCATATAACCTTAAGGTTTTACAATGGTGAC